CTGGGCGATTAGGATGATGAGGGTGTTGGCGTGGGCGCAGCGCCGCGGGTGCGGGGGCCTTTGCCCCTCCCCTGACTCTTCGGCTCTGTTTAAGAGCCGAGCACTACGGGCTTTGGGCAGCCCCCATGCCTCCGGACCCTGCGCCGCCGGAGCCCGGGAGGGGAAGTGCCCGGCCGGGGGCGCAGGGTCCGGAGGCATAGGGGCTGCCTGAAGCCCAAGCGCTACCGGCTTCACGGTTTGCCAGGCAGCCTCCAGACCCTGCGCCCCCGGCTGGGCGCTTCCCCTCCTGGGCTCCAGCTGCGCTGGGGAAGCGCCGGCCGGGGGAGCAGGGTCTGGGGGCTGCCCAGCAAACCGTGAAGCCGGTAGCGCTCGGGCAGCCCTTTTCGCGTGGCTGGGAGTGGGAGGGAGGAGGGGGCGGGGTTAGGGCGGGAAAGGGGCAGAGTTGGGGCGGGCTGGGGTGAGAAATGGGCGGGGCCAGGGCCCCGTGGAGGGTCCTCTTTTTTTATTTGTTAAATATGGTAACCCTACACAGGATGTGCTTTGTGACAGAGATAACATCACCAGGGCATACCTTCACTTTGAAATGTATTCACTTCTTAGTGTTTGATCTTGCAAGCTTAACATTGCATTAACTTTTGTTTTCCCCCCGCATCCACACATAATGAATGCTTCCATTGTTTTATGAGTGTTAGGTTATAAAAATCCTCCCCTCCGTCATCCCCCACACAAACAGACGTCAGAGATTACAATACTGCAAAAAAAAAAGTTTCAAAGACTGATATTCAGAGTCAGCATTGCTGTGTAAGAAACAATATTTATAACAGATGACCTTTAAATTCTCTTAACAAGCTTGATAAGACTAATTCCTGCATCTGAATTCCAAGCATGTGTGCCTACTTAAGTTTCCTGTTGCCAGTAAAATAGCAATATTTATGACACCAAACAAACTTTTGTTTAATTATATTTAAAACTAAAAAACACTTCCTTTTTAATCCAGCCACTGATCGTGAAGCTATTTGAGTTGTCCCTTCCTCCCCTTCAATGCTGGGACAGAGCAAAACCTTCAGCATATCACATTATGGGTTGCTGTTTGCAGCAACTTTATGACCGCCTGTGGCATATTCTGTTGCCAGCTTCAAGGTCCTTGTCTTAGATGTATGTTGTATTTCAGCTTGTAGGGCTTGATTGCAGAAACCAGTGTAGGGCCCCACATGGGTGCAAAGGGCCTGCCCACACAGATAATCTTGCAGGGTCAGGGCCTAAAACTTGTATCCTTTTTTTTTCTTCCCAGTTGGAGGTAAAGCTGTGGCCCTTTGCAAATATAAAATTGTTTTTAAAGCTGACGGGTCTGTAATTTAAACAGAAGAGAAGTCATTCATTTTGCAGGGCATTTAAATAAGTGGACAGGCCTGACCGTTTTTCCCTCTTAGGGTGAAATAGTGAAGAAATATACCCAGCTCAATCCTAAAACCTATGAGGACAGAATAGGATTGATTCTCAAGATGTGTATGGAGGCTGCATCAGAAGCTGTAAATCTGAACTGCAGAATTTTGGGAGTGGGTAAGTTAATGAATATTGAATTTTTCTTCCAAGACTGTAAACACTAAACGAGATTGTTCCAGTTGTGTTAAAAAATTGATCCCGGGCATTTTCACAGCTTTTATATTGACAGTTTTATTCCTTTATTTAGTGCAAATGATAAGGGATGCTTTTTAAATGCATGTGAAAATGAGGGGCTGGAAACACAGCCTAGAGTCAGCCCTCTCTGAGTAGAAACTGTGCAAGCTATCCACAAAGCTATGCCAATGTACCTCAGTCCCAACCTACAACCCCACAGTATTTCCGGAACTGGTCATTTCCTAAGAAGAACTTGTCATTCATGTGGCATTTGATTCTAGGGCCATGATTCTGAATAGCACTGCCTGGCTGGTGTTGCTGAGGAGATACAGCCCTGAGGGTGGTGGGTGGCAAAGGTTGTTTTTTAACCTACCTTGACTTGGGGGCCCAGCCCCAGAATTTGAAAAGCATAAGTTAGAGCAGCCCCTGAAACTGCCACCGCTGACAGACACTTCCTACAGCTGTCTGTGGCGAATAACTTGGGTGCCAAGCCCCTTGACTCACCAGAGCAGCATAAAGAGGCCAAAACACAGTCCAGAAGGGATGCTTATGTCCACAGAGCTGGAAGGCAAGATAGTTTTTTATTTGCTATTTCAATTACACTGTAGCAGAAACCCATTTTAAATTATTTTGTTTATACTGTAACCGGTCCCAGCTTCATTCTGCTTAATGACTGACTAAAAGCTTTGTTCTGAAACATTTATTTTAGTGGAAAGGATTCTGTTTAACCAGAATATTAGAACCTCATTCCATTTTGGCCAAAGACAAGTTTTGCTCTAAAACCTAAATTCTGATTAAATCACATGGTAGAAAAATATTACTGTCAACTCTTGAAAATTCTTCTTTGCCATAATGAGCCTGGAAAAACTTTAGTGGTGAGTACATAAAAGCAAAAGAAGCAATGTACACATGTGTGATCCAGATCCCTGAACTGAAGGATTACAAAAGGGCAATTTATAAATTCTTTATTGCTAGAGAGAACTTTTTTGAGAAAATTCCATCTTAAATTATTATACTACTACATTAAATAATGGAATCTTTCAGAATAATGTCAGTGAACAAAAGGTCCTGTTTGACCTCTGATGTTTCATTTGGACTAAAAGTTTTCTGTACTTGGCCTCAGAGAATTAGTTTGTGCTGAAGAATTCACTTTAATATAAAACAGTTGTGAGGAATCATTGAGAAGTCATCATTCTTAAGAAAATAAAATGCTATTTTTCTACACATGACAATCCCAAAGAAAGAGATGTATTTTGTACTTCAGTTCAGTACTTTGTTCTCAGTCACCAAGTTCAAATGAGCCTTGATGTAACTTTGGAGCTGTTGTAATCTGAATGATGATTTTTGTTGTTTTGTCATTTATTACAATAAAATTGGAAATAAAAAAAATTCAAATAACTTGTTAGCTGTGACGTGAAATCGAAAGAATTATAGAACACCTGCAAGGATGTTTTTGGGATATTCTGACTTCCATTTAAACAAATGGCAAAGGGACATTAGAGTTATTTTTCAGGTTATGGAGTGCACACTTCTGAGTTCACCTCAGCTATTCAGGTAATAATACATGCCACCCACAGCAGTAAGCTACAAGGCAAGGCCTCTCTGCTTCCGGTATTGCAAAGTGTTTTCAAAGTTCTTATTAGATCTTCTCTTATAACCTACACAATATAAATATCATCAGTCACTTAAAAAAATAAATGCACAGTGAGCTAATTCCTGCGCAGTTACAGCTGTGTATCCTTCACTGAACTTAACTTGGTTGCATAGATGGTAACTGAGAGCACAATTCTTTGCAATGTTGGAAAAACAGGACTTACTTGAAAAGTATCCTCCAGCGCTATTTATGGTCGATGTGATGTCACCAGCAAAATGCCTGCCGGGCCATCACGCCAAGATGGCTGGCCATTTGCGAACATGAAAAATGGTAACTTGTTGAAATGCCCTAAAGGGAATCGTAACTTTTTTCAGAACATATTTGTGAATCACCTTTCTGGCAGACACTGTGAACCAAATTCTAGGCTGACTTACTCCCCGTGTACTGGGAGTTCATGTGGATGTAAGCCCATGTAGAATTTACCCCTGTATCTATAACTCCTTATTTTGTACTTAAATATTGCAGTGCAAAAGATCACACATTAAGTGAGACTATCCAAGATACAGCCAGATTCAGCCCTGCTGTTATCTTACTGATGTTTGACATTAGGGATGAATTTGGTCCAGCAGGACAAACAGAGACCAGGTGTAAATAGGTCCAGTACCTCTGGAAGTCTCCTGGCCAAATTCAGCAATGACTTAAACAGTGGCAAACTTCCGACGTTGAGTGTAAGGTGGTCAGATATTAGGTGTTAGTGACCAAATGGTGCGACTTGCATGGGTGTGGCATTCAGTGGGTGTGCAAGAGACGTGTAATTTACATGCTGAAAGGGAGGAGAGATGTTAGAAATAGCATCTTATAAAATAAAAGGGTGCAGTGTGTGTGTCAGATGCTACCAGATTAGAATGGTATTGTGGTACATCCACTTCATTCAGGTGCAAATGATGACCCAAGGTGCAGGGCAGTGGAAAATCAGACTGTGGGCCTGATTCTTCTCTTCCACTTGTGGTTGGCTCTGTGTGTGTGAGAGGCTATTTTATTTTATCTCCTCCTCTTAGTTGTATTTCCTGCTACATTTCCCTTTCCTCCTCCTTGTGCAAGTTGTACTCATTTTGCACAGCTACTGAATATTAACCCAGTGCAAGCTGCACTATGTACACCTATATGTTTGTGATGAGACTTGCACAGCTGTTTACGTCACTGCTGAATTGGACACAGAATCAAAGCTGTAATGCTGAGTTTAGTTGACTTGTCATGTGGCTTTTTGTAACTTTTTTTTATCCTTATTGGACTGATTTTTCAGAGGTGCTCAACAATCAAACCACATGTGAATTTGTAATCCTGGTTTGTGGATTTCTGGATGATACCATTTTTGGAGTGTTCTAATTAATCAAAATTAAATAAACCCTTATAATAATAGAAAGCTGTCCTTTCCCCTTTCATCCTACAACTCTCAGTAGAGGGACTGTTGCAAAGGGTAGTGTGGACGCTGATGGAAGTGAGCACTCCAGCGTTTAACAAAACCTTTGGATATTTTCCCCAAGTAGGAACTATTTAAACAAACCTGTTGGGCCTGATTCTGATGTAACTCCATTGATTTCTGTGGGTCACTCCTGACTTACATAGGGGAGAGATCAAAATCAGGCCCATTAAACTTTTAATTGGCGACTTAAATATTATTAGCTACCAAAGACCCTATTGTCCTTGCACAAATTAACTATCATAGTGAGTTATCTTTGCTCAATATCTGACTAATGACTTTCTGTTGAACGTTACTTTCCTGTACAATGCATGAATTTATACCCGTGACTTAACTCTTAATCCTTGTATCGAGTGGTTCCTGCTGTGTTACGTGTGTGAATGGATTCTGCACTGATTAAATAATGGATTTTCTGTGCCAAGCAAATCTGTTTTCTGAAGCTGCATTCCAGGGTAACCAAGTTAACTGGCTAACATAACCCCAGCAAAATACTAGTCTTAGTGTGAGTTAACAAAACAGGACATCATAAATTAATGCAGGTGCTAAACATCATTACAATTTAACAATATAAAAATTTTGCATACTGCAGCTACTTAAAATGTTACTAGCTGTTGAATTCATTGTGTATAACACTTGGCTGTTTTGGGAGTATGGTTACATATTCTGCTGTATGCATTGTACTGTGGTGAAGAAAATGTAAGTAGTAGTTTGAAAATTTTTGTGGCTTTCAAGCAGTTTCTTCTGCATGCTGTAACAAGACATGTTCCCTCTAATTGGGTAGTTTTAGATAAGCATTTTTGTTGGCTTTCTACTACACCCAGCGCCAGTCTGTCTCTGCTGGATATGTTGGAAATCAATAATAACCTTGGCCATAAAGTATGCCTTCTCTCAGCTAAAGCCCTCTTTCATGCATAATGGGGAACATTTATATTTGGCCTTATGACCAAGTTTCAACCAGTTGGATTTGATTTAAAAAACCCACACACCATATATATATAATGGTGGGAACCAGGTGATAAATGGATGCATGATTCTTTTCCCTATCCATTTGACTGCCTCACCTGCACTCTGCCCACTATTCCAACACTGGCAGGACTATTTTATTATTTCATTACATTACAGTCCCAACTAGCCTGCCTAATCAGTGTTAGGGCCCCATTGAACGAGGTGCCATACCTTCCAAACCTCTGAGCAGCTCCAAGCAACTTCTTTTTTTAGTATAACAGAATACCTTTGCAGAGATAGTTTCCGCCTTCCCTTGACAGAAAAGCTGAATTTCTCCCTCAGTTACACTAGTCTAAGGACCGGGGTCATCAGGAAGTATTCAGCTGTGCACCAGTGATAGGTTCATGATCCAGTACTTTGTAACGTATCAGAGCTAACAGTGGGAGCTTTATTTCATTAGGAAGATTAAAAAAAACAAACTCCATTTTCCAATAAGATGTCAGATGTTGAAATCCAGATACTGTGATCTATGGAAGTAAAAATGCAAATTTAAGTAATTTTAGAGCTTTCTGTCTTAATTATAATTATCCTGTCCATCCAAAGTCTGGGGTGTGAAATAAGAGGAATAATTTAAAAAAAATTAACCATCAAACACTTCTAAAATAATTTTTCTGTAAAACGTGTGGCATATTCCAAACCCATGATTAGTGGTATAAACGTTTATTTGCACTCGTTAAGGCTGACCTGTATAACTCACTCTTGTCATTGCCACTCATGAGGAATTCAGCTATTCCAAACTCATGCTGATATCACCTTTATATCATGCCACACCCTCATGCGTTCTCTGTATAAAAGCAGTGACCAAAATGGTTATACTTGCGTATCTTAAGCTAGTCACCCTAGTATTTATTTAGACACCTCAATAAGTGGACCCACTTTCCGAGGTGCTTTGCACTCACGTTCCCACTGACTTCAGGAGTTTTCATCTGAGTATAACCATTGTCTTCTCAATATAAACTTGACTAATAACTGTTTACTCTGTGTATTGTTCTCCAGGACAAGTCCCATTCAGACACATACTTTGATACTTTACTATCCAAGCTCCACTGTTTCGCTTTCATTCATCCTAAATGTATGTTTATCCACTTTCAGCAGATTTTAGTGATCGTAGAATCGTAAGACTGGAAGGGACCTCAAGAGGTTATCTAGTCCAGTCCCCTGCACTCATGGCAGGACTAAGTACTATCTAAACCATCCCTGACAGGGGTTTGTCTAACCTGCTCTTAAAAGTCTCCTATGATGGAGATTCTACAACCTCCCTAGGGAATTTTTTCCAGTGCTTAACCACCCTGACAATTAGGAAGTTTTTCCTTATGTCCAACCTAAACCTCCCTTGCTGCAATTTAAGCCCATTATTTCTGGTCCTATCCTCAGAGGTTAAGGAGAACAATTTTTCTCCCTCCTCCTTGTAACAACCTTTTATATACTTGAAAACAGTTATCACGTCCTCTCTGTCTTCTCTTCTCCAGACTAAACAAACCTAATTTTTTCAGTCTTCCCTCAGAGGTCATGTTTTCTAGACTTTTAATCATTTTTGTTGCTCTTCTCTGGACTTTCTCCAGTTTGTTCACATCTTTCCTGAATGTAGTGACCAGAACTGGACATAATACTCCAGTTGAGGCCTAATCAGCGCAGAGTAGAGTGGAATAATTTTTTGTCATGTCTTGCTTACAACACTCTCGATAGTACATCCCAAAACCATGTTTGCTTTTTTTTTTTGCAGTAGTGTTATACTCTTGACTCGTATTTAGCTTGTGATCCACTCTGACCCCCAGATCCCTTTCTGCAGTACTCCTTCCTAGGCAGTCATTTCCAATTTTGTATGTGTGCAACAGATTGTTCCTTCCTGGATGGAGTACTTTGCATTTGTCCTTATTGAATTTCATCCTATTGACTTCAGACCATTTCTCCAGTTTGTCCAGATCATTTTGAATTTTAATACTATCCTCCAAAGCACTTGCAAGCCCTCCCAGTTTGGTATCGTCCACACACTTAATAAGGGTACTCTGTATGCCATTATCTAAATCATTGATGAAGATATTGAACAGAACCAGAACTGATCCCTGCGGGACCCCACTCGTTATGTCCTTCCAGCTTGACTGTGAACCACTGATAACTACTCTCTGGGAACGGTTTTTCCAACCAGTTTTGCACCCACCTTATAGTAGTTCCATCAAGGTTGTATTTCTCTAGTTTGTTTATGAGAAGGTCACGTGAGGAGTATCAAAAGCTTTACTAAAGTCAAGATATACCACAGCTACCACTTCTCCCCTATCCACAAGGCTTGTTACCCTGTCAAAGAAAGCTATCAGGTTGCTTTGACATGATTTGTTCTTGACAAATCCATGTTGACTGTTATTTATCACCTTATTATCTTCTAGGTGTTTGCAAATTGATTGCTTAATTATTTGCTCTATTATCTTTGTGGGTACAGAAGTTAAGCTGACTGATCTGTAATTCCCCGGGTTGTCCTTATTTCCTTTTTATAGATTTGCCCTTTTCCAGTCCTCTGGAATCTCTCCCGTCTTCCATGACTTTTCGAAGATAATTGCTAATGGCTCAGATATCTCCTCAGTCACCTCCTTGAATTTCATCAGGGCCTGGTGACTTGAAGACATCTAACTTGTCGAAGACTTTGTCTACATTACCGCTTTTGTTGGTAAAACTTCTGTTTGTCAGGATCGTGAAAAAAACACCCCCCGACTTATATAAGTTTCACCAGCACAAGTGCTGGTGTGGACAGCGCTATGTCGGCAGGAGAGGCTTTCCTGCCGACATAGCTAACGCTGCTCATTGGGGGTGATTTAATTATGCTGGCAGGAGAGCTGTTACATGGGAGACCTTAACAGCGGCCTAGCTGTAGTGGTAAAGCTGGGTTGCTGCAAGGTCCGTAATATACACATAGCCTAAATAATTTTTAACTTGTTCTTTCCCTAGTTTAGTCTCTGATCCTATCTCATTTTCACAGGCATTCGCTACATTAGACATCCAGTCGCTACTAACCTTTTGGGTGAAAACTGAAACAAAAAAAGTCATTTAGCACTTCTGCCATTTCCACATTTTCTGTTATTGTCCCCCCCACCCCCAATTGAGTAACGGGCTTACCCTCTCCTTGGTCTTCCTCTTGCTTCTCATGTGTTTGTGGAATGTTTTCTTGTTACCCTTTATGTCTCTAGCTAGTTGAATCTTGTTTTGTGCCTTGGCCTTTCTTATTTTGTCCCTACATACTTGTGTTATTTGTTTATATTCATCCGTTGTAATTTGACCTCGTTTCCACTTTTTGTAGGTCCCTTTTTAGTTTCAGATCATTGACGATCTCCTGGTTAAGCCAGGGTGGTCTCTTGCCATTCTTTCCTTCGCAGTGGGATAGTTTGCTCTTAATAATGTCTCTTTGAAAAACTGCCAACTCTCTGGAATTGTTTTTTCCCCCTAGACATGCTTCCCATGGGATCTTTCCTACCAACTCCCTGAGTTTGCTAAAGTCTGACTTCTTGAAATCCATTATCTTTATTGTGCTGTTTTCCCTCCTACCAGTCCTTAGAATCATGAACTCAACCATTTCATAGTCTTTCACCTAAGCTGCCTTCCACTTCCAAATTCTCAGCCATTTCCTTCCTGTTTGTCAAAATCAAATCTAGAACAGCCTCTCCCCTAGCAACTTTCTCCGCCTTCTGAAATAAAAAATTGTCTACAATACATTCCAAGAACTTGTTGGATAATCTGTGCCCTGAATTGCTGTGTTTCCATCAGATGTCTGAGTAGTTGAAGTCCCCCATCACCACCAAGTCCCATGTTTTGGATTATTTTGTTAGTTGTTTAAAAAAAGACTCATCCACCTCTTCTTCCTGGTTAGATGGTCTGTAGTAGACCCCCTACAGTGACATCAGCCTTGTTTTTTACCCCTTTTATCCTTACCCAGAGACTTCCAACAAGTCTGGATTGCTTGACACTTATTTAAGATGGACAACTCCTTGGTATTATACAGGATTTTTTATATATATACGGCTAAGAAGAGGCACGGAAGGGTTAAGCAACTTACCCAACACCGCCTAAAATAAGAAATTGAATTTTCAGCTGGTTAGCTGGGACACTGAGCACATATTGATAAGGATGCTAGAATTCTGTTAGTTCTCGTTTCATATCATAACTGATGTAATATATTGCAAGTGAGGCTTAGGACTGTTTTTGTTTAGATTCAGAAATATATCATTTAGTGTTAAACATAAAAATCCTTTTCTTCACAAGGAGCAAATAAATTGTAGTTCCAGAGTTAGTTAGCCTTAGCCTTGATTTTTCTCTCGTGTGTTTTGGGCTCAGGTATTTCTACAGGTGGACGGGTGAATCCCCGAGAAGGAATCGTGCTTCATTCCACAAAGCTCATTCAGGAGTGGAGTTCTGTTGATCTGAGGACCCCGATATCTGATGCTCTGCACTTGCCAGTCTGGGTGGACAATGATGGCAACTGTGCTGCTCTGGCAGAGAGGAAATTTGGGCACGGAAAAGGAGTGGAAAATTTTGTAACGCTAATCACTGGTACAGGTAAATGTGAACACAGAAATCAAAGCACTGAATTCCTGCTGTCTTTATGTCACAAAACAGTTGCATTAGTGGGGACTGTCCTCCAGTTCCAACTCTGTAATATAATTCCCTTCCAGCTGCAGAAAATGTAGGTCCGATCTGGAGCTGTATGTAGTAGCTAAATGAGGAGCTCAGCTTGGCACATCATCCTAGTAGCACATTGTGGCACTTTGATGGTGGGTCTGACATACTTGTTTGATTAAAAAGATATGGACCATTTACACGGGTGTCAATCACCTCAGCTGAAGAATCCTCACTTGTTAAAAACAACAACAACAAAAAACCCAACCCAAACCATACTTGCATATGCATGGCTAGTATGTCTCTGCTAGTGTAGACTAGATGTTAAAAGACATAATCTGGGCTGATCTTGAGCTAAGGAACATCCAATATCTTCACACATCCAATATCACCACCGCTGCATTGCGACATCCAGGCCTGCCCACTGCCATCCGAAATAGCAAGGGAAGAATGCGAATGAATCATAAACAATAGTTTGTAATGCAAACCACAATTCTATACTAGATCTAGGACAAGAATTCTAGATGCACCACATCTGAAGGATGTGATTGACTTCTGCTGTTTTACTTTTAGTATTTACAAGTTTTGATAAGATTTTGCTTCTTAAGCATGAATTAAATATTTGTTTCGTGCATCAAGAATTTAGGACTACTATGACAGGAGTTATGAACTCGCAGGCTGAGACATAATGTCTACATGTGCCCCTCAATAACCCTCTTTGACTAAATAGCTCATGAATAAATTATATCATGACATGACCAATGAACTATGCATTATAGGTGTAAGTTCACCTTACCATCCGGGGGCTGGGGAGGCTTATGCATTTACTTGCACCAAGTGCATTAAGCAGAGAAGAGATTTGTAATGACTGCTCCTTTATTTGGTCCTAATACAGTGATGCACACATACATGTATTTAACTCCTTCCCTTTTAAGATAAGGACATGTAAGTGCCCTGCTGAATCAAGGCCATTATGTGACTGTTCTTTTACTGTCAGAAATTTGTATATGCTTATAGGAATTGGAGGTGGAATCATTCATCAACATGAATTGATCCATGGAAGTTCCTTTTGTGCTGCTGAACTTGGACACATTGTGGTGTCTCTAGAAGGACCAGAGTGCCTGTGTGGGAGCCATGGATGTATAGAAGCATATGCCTCTGGAATAGCCTTGCAGAGAGAAGCTAAAAAACTACATGATGGTAGGTGTATTTTTTACCCTCTTTTTAATGTAATTGTTCCATCTTCTATAATGCAGCTGGCAAATGCAAAGAGCGTCCAGCCTAAAATGGCATTTTAGGCATGCCAATGGGGCAGCCTTAAAAGTTACCTTCCTTTTTACAGTTCAGTAACATAGATTCACACACTCTGTTGTATCGTTAGTCCAACTGCAGATTTGTTATTAACGTTTCCCTCCGGGCTTTCTCTTCACCCCAAACAGAGGATCTGTTGTTAGTGGGCGGAATGTCAGTGAAGACGGAAGAGACCATTAGTGCTGTGCATCTCATTCAGGCAGCTAAACTTGGGAATGCAAAGGCTGACAGCATTCTCAGAACAGGTAAGAACCTAGACCTAGGGTGGGAAGCCCACTTAGAACGAGAGAGAAATTCCCAGAGCTGTAGAATTGGTATTTCACCACAGCAGGACCAAATCCTCAGCGCAGCTGTGATGGTTTCTACAGAACTACACGTGAGTGAGGGATCTGGCCCTTTAGGCGTGGCACTCATGGATAGGAGCGGTACCAATGACTAGTGGGGAATTGTGAAGAGAATGGGCTAGTGATCCTGTCCTGTCTCCAACAAACTGCATTCTGGGACCGTGTTAGAGACTTGGTTAAACGGATTACAGATTGCATGGTCATGGGACCCTTCGCTATTTCTTTTGGGATTTCCTGCTCCAGGGGATTAGAATATTAAAACATCATGCTTTTCCTTTTCTTGTGGCAAGCAAAATAGCTCTGGCTTCACACTGAAAAAAAGGTCAGGTTCTGATAATTCAGTATTGGTATGGGAAATTATGGGACACTTCAGTGACGGGCCAATAAATATATATGCTAGGCAGCCAAAATGAAATGGTTTCTATGAAGCGTTGTTCCAGTTTATACAATACTTTACAATGCACAGTTTTTCTGAGTTTTCAAAAGAAGCATTAAATATAACCAGTTTCCTTACAGGTTTCAGAGTAGCAGCCGTGTTAGTCTGTATCCGCAAAAAGAACAGGAGTACTTGTGGCACCTTAGAGACTAACAAATGTATTTGAGCATAAGCTTTCGTGGGCTACAGCCCACTTCATCGGATGCATAGACTGGAACATACAGCAAGAAGATATTTAAGAAGTTTCCTTACGTGTAACCAATATAGCAGAAGGAGGTAGAATAGCATTTTCTTTCCTTTGTTTCCCCAAGCACAGCAATATGTGTTGACTTACCTCTCTCGTCTATATCATGGTATAACGTTACCTGGCTATAAACCATTGAATTTTTCTTTTACTCTCGAAAGAAAAGAGGATGATGAGCCCAAGTGTCCCAGCGAGCTGTCCTAGTATTATACACTAATACTTTCTCTCAAGAAAAGGAATACATTCTGTTGTAATTCTAGTGTTCTGGGCAGAAAATCATAAACGTCTGCCATATGGAATTAAAAGCTTTCCTGATCACAGTATTAATTACTCCTGAGGGAATTCTGCACCAAAAAAGTTAAAAATTCTGCTCACAATATTTTTTAAATTCTGCAAATTTCATTTTGTCAATAAATAAATGTGGAGGCTCCAGCATGGCAGGGGGAGCACAGGCCACTGGCTGCACAGAGGTGGGAGATCACCCTGCAGGGTCTCCCCTCCCCCCCACACCTCCTTGGAACATGAACTTGGCAGTGAGATTGCACCTGACTCTGAGACAGCGCAAGGGCCGGGCCTGCCCCAGAAACACCCCGGGGCCCTGCCCCTCCATGCCTGGCACACCAGTATCCAAGTGTGGAGGGGCTTAGTATGGGGAGATCCAGATGTGGGGTGAGAGGATTCTGTGTGGCCCAATCTCAATGCACAGGGGCTCATTGGGGTGTTCCGGGTGCAGGGGCAATGGGACGCTGCAGTGGGGTCCAGGTGAAGGTGGTTGGGGCTCAACAGGTTTGGTCTAGGTCTGGGTGTAAGGGGCTCAGTGGGGGTTGGGTGCTGGGGGAGTAGGGCTTAGTGGGGTTTGGGTCCAGGTACTGCTGTTTGGGGCTCAGTGTGGTGGGGGTTTGGGTGCAGGAGGCTCGTCAGGGTATGTGGGGTGGTCTGGGTGCAGGGGTGAGGGTCCTGATGCAAGGGGTGAGGCTTGGTGGGATGGGGGTTCAGGTGTAGGGTGACCAGATAGCAAGTGTGAAAAATTGGGACAGGGGGTGAGGGGTAATAGGCGCCTATATAAGAAAAAGCCCCGAATATCGGGACTGTCCCTATAAAATCGGGAGATCTGGTCATCTTATGTAGTGGACTCATGGGGGGTGTCTTGCTACAGAGGGGGTGATGCTCGTCAGGGAGGTCTGGGTATAGGGGGGGGGTCTGGATGCACCAGAGTTGGGCGGACCAGGGAGCAGCTCCCCATACAGTGACCCCTCCCACTGTGGCTGAGAAGGGATGGGGACGGGAAGCATGTGTGGGGTGTGTGGAGCGTCCTGTAGCCTGGAGAGGTTTCTGGGGGTGGGTCCTTGCAGGGAAAGAGGAGTTGAGACTGGCCCAGCATAGGAGCCACCTGCCAAGGTGTCCCTAGCCCTGCCCCTGTCCCCCGCTCCCTCCTCACAGTGATTTACCTCTCCAACAGCTGCTCCGGGCGCCCGAAACAACATGCCCGCACTGCTGGAGAGAGGTGCGTGACTGCTCCTGCAGTTTCCCATTGCTTCCCTGTCAGAAAGTCATTTTTCTGCGGGGAAGCAAAGAAATCTGTGGGGGACATAAATTCTGTGCACGTGCAGTGGCGCAGAATTCCCCCAGGAGTAATTAATGTGTTTAGAGACACTAGGTCAGACCCTGATGTTCAGATTCTTCTGTGATATTGTCTTTTTGCTGTAATGGCTCTTTCCTTTGTTTTCACAGCTGGGACAGCTCTAGGCCTTGGAGTGGTGAATATCCTGCACACCATGAACCCCTCTCTAGTGATCCTTTCTGGAGTTTTAGCAGGCCATTACGTTAACATCGTCAAAGACGTGATCCGTCGGCAGGCTTTGTTCTCTGCTGAGACAGTGGATGTAGTTGTCTCAAATCTGGCGGACCCTGCTCTGCTTGGAGCTGCTAGTCTGGTGCTAGATTACAGTACACGCCGAATATACTAGGTACCTGGGGAAGTTCCAGAAATGGACAGTCCAGCTGTATAACTGTTCTGGGGGGCGGGGGAAATACTGTGCCCAGAGTATTTCCTGCTGACCATCAGCTTTATCTTCTGTAGTAAAGCAGACTAGTGTTTTAGGTAGTTAGTTACTACTTCAGTATTTCCTTATTGTAGTAATACCTCTTTGTATTTTTTTCTACATTTTAGCCAAGTTCAGATGAAGTAATGTGCATTTCCATTTTTTTGTTCACCTCTGTAGCTTGGGAGCTCAGGTGTTGCTTAAGCGATGCTAGAAAGACTTATCCATAAGCACATTCCAGTGTTCTCCCGGGATATATTTGGTGAGGTGTGCCAAGTTCTAGACAACACTTGGGAACCTTGGTCCTGTCTCGTAACTCTGTGAAACTAGAAAAGCCTGCAAACAAGTACTGGTTTGGTCTGACTCAGCTTTGAATTTCCTCACGCACAAGTGGATGTGCTGCAATCCTAACCCATAGGGCGTTAGGGTGACCAGATGTCCCGATTTTAGAGGGACAGTCACGATTTTGGGGTCTTTTTCTTATATAGGCTCCTATTACCCCCCAACCCCTGTCCCGATTTTTCCTATGGGTTAGGATTTGCTGTCTGGTCACCCTATAGGGCGTCATCCCGCTGGGTGGAAACAACACAGAGGTTGCCTCTCAGGAGATAACCCTGGCAGCCAGAGCTCCTCTCAGAGAAGGATTCTTTTTGTTGTTATTTATTTGTATTGTTGATGCCGAGGGGTCCCAGTCAGGGATCGGGGCCCCGTTTGTGCAAAAGGAAAGACTGTCCCTGTCTGTATAAGCTTACACGATGCAACATGTGGCCAGACAAACGGGGGAGTGTGGAGCAAGGTAGCAGAGTGTCATCTGTGCCTCCTCAGCAATTGCTTTTGGCAGTGACCAGCAGTGAGTTATTTGAATTTGACCTGTTCCACTAATGTGGATGTAGGTTGGGGCGGATTTCAGTTTCTCTGGGTTGCTGGTCTGCCACAGCATGAGTCTGTCCCGTGTTAGCATGCCAGGATTATTCACGCCTTTCGGCTGGACTACAGCGGTGCAATAGCCCTGGGCAGGAAGCTATCAGCACTCAGGAAACTCCAGCTGGTACAGAACACTGCAGCCCATCTCCTTGGAAATCCAGGCTACCCACAAGCACATCCGCCCTGCCCTCTGCTTCCTAAACCAGTTTCCTGGTAGGGAATACTCAATCATGTTCAAGGTCGTGGCCCTTATCTTCAAGGTGCTCCGTGGCTTGAGCCCAAGGTGTCTAAAAGACGGCCTAAAGTTCTGGTATGAAGATCATGATTGACAACTGCGCTCCTCTGGCACAATGAAACTTTCAACCCTACGTATCAAGCTTATCTGAGCAGCAGACACAGCCTTCTCACGAGCCGGCCATAGACTGGAACAGACTCTACAAGAGCTGAGACTATCACAAACCTCCCCACCTTCCGCTCCCAGCATCAGAGGCATTTCGTGGACCATGTCTTCTCTAACATAAACGCACACACATGCACACACACACACACACACTAACCTTTTCCAGTATATCTGTGTGTATGCGAGTATAAAACTTCCAGAACAAAACACACTTCTCCGCATCAAGGGGGGTGAGAAAACTGCCATGTGACAGAGGTTAGTCCCCTGGCTTAATGCACTGCTGGAAGGGGTGCAGTCAAGCCCCTAGGAGCCAGGCATGTGACGTGGGCGCTGAACACCAGAGCAAAGAGAACAGTCGCTGCCCAGTTAAACATTCAACACAAGAATAAGGCACTGAGCCTTTAGACTCCAACCCAAGGCTCAGGTGCGTTGCAGAGGTGCTGAGTTCTGTTCTCTCTCTGACCACTAGTATCTATCCCAGGATGACACCAGACTTGCCCAGGGATGGACACTGTTCTGTGTGAAGGAAACCATCAAGATTCTACACCTTCTTCCAATGAGAGCAAGGTCCTTGCAGGGCCCAGTGTAGCCTCCAAACGTGGTGGGGTTCTTCTTCCCCCCTGCCCTTTTTTTTAATAGCAAGAGGACACTTAGCAGAGGGGGGCGGTGCTGTGCAATTCCCTTGGAGCATCCCCTTGACAAACAGTGGTGCTGTGAACGGGGGAGAAATGGCTGCGTGGGAGATCCTGCCTGCTCTTCACCAAAGTCCCCTCTCAGCTGCAGCTTGATGGGCACAGGGGGCTCAGTGTCACTCAGAGCTACAAGCGAGAGGGCTTGGCTTCCACTGAGACCGGGGTAGCCCAGGCTGTTGCAGACCAGAACCTCCATGAAGAACTTGTTCAGAGTAAGGTCCCTCCCAGCATGGGTGGTTTCACTGCCATTACGCAGGCTTGCTGCATCTCTAGCTGGGTAAGGCACATCGGAACTAAAGCCAAGGAAGGAGCCATGGAGTTTAGTGATTGTATGGGACCAAACAAAGAAAAAACTGGAAGGGGAGGGAGGGTGGATGATAGGGTCAAAACAAGAGCATGGGTTGGGGACACCGAGCACAGAAGCTTGCGTAGCACCCACCACTGCAAGGAGTCTACAGTGTC